GCACCAACATCCAGTATACTATCTGAAATATTTTTACAATGGATTGAACATAATCACATTATAGACATATTAAACAAAAATCAAATCAAATATTATGGTAGATATGTAGATGATGTATTTATAATGTATGACACAAAAAAGACCAATATAAAATACGTTCTAAATGAATTTAATAATATAAACCAAAACATACAATTCACTATGGAAACAGAACAAGAAAATAAATTAAATTACTTAGATTTAACCATAATACGAAATAATAATGATTTTGAATTCGAAATATACAGAAAACCTACTAGTACAAGTACAATAATACATGCATCCTCATGCCACCCAAACGAACACAAAAAAACAGCTATAAACTACCTAATAAACAGAAAAAATACATATCCTATAACCATTAAAAATAAACAAACTGAATGCAATATAATAAAACAAATTCTAAAAGAAAACGGTTACAATAATTATGAACAAAAACCAAAAACCAAAATAAAAAATGAAAATGACAATAATAACGAAAACGATAATACTCAAAATAAATGGGCCACATTCACATATATAGGTAAAGAAACAAAATACATATCAAAAATATTCAAAAATAATAATATAAAAGTTGCATATAGAACAAAAAATACAATAAAAAACATACTAAAACAAAAACAACAACATGACACAGAAAAGCAATACGAACAACCTGGCGTATATAGATTGAAATGCATGGAATGTCCTTTAACCTACATAGGCCAGACAGGACGCACATTTAAACAAAGGCACAAAGAACATATTACAGCTATCAAACAGAATAAGGATCACTCCGCCTACGCAAAACACATATTAAACACAGGACACACATATGGGGCAATAGAACAAACTTTAGATATTATAAAAATAGTACAAAATAAACGCCATAGGGAAACCATTGAAAAATACCATATACAACGGACACATAAACAAAATATTGCTTTAAACGACACTAACCTATATTTGAACAACCCGATTTTTAACACAGTACAAATCATTGACCCAAGCACATGACCCCATCTACCTATATATACCACCCGCTCCTATACACGAAACCAGTACTTGAACAGACAGTCAACCCTGCAGACGTGATAAACCACACAACACGACTTATGGTATGTTATTGAGTTCTTACTATTACAATATAATTGTAAATGAAGGCGCAGTATTGTAACATCGTAGTAACGATGAATAGCGCACATTTTAAATTTTAACATCTGTAAATAAAGTTTGTGTATTGACCTGAATTATATTATATATTTTAATTCTTCCTTCAGGTTTCCCAAATAAAATTCTCTTTGCATTTCTCGTGTCCTTTCCATGCTTTTTGCACCACCCAGCCCAGTCATTTTCATCAACACCCAATCTATGGCATTCACTTTATAGGAGAAACCAATTTTCACACTCACACAAAGCAACATTAACAAATACATTTTTGTATATTGCATTCTTTACATTTTTAGGTTAGAGACAAGAAAGATGAGAAGACTGCAGATTAAGTGGTAACAAACTTTCTCCAAATGTAATCTGCTCTCAGTGTCTTTGTGAGTGCAATTTTGATTTATTACTGTTACTGAAAAAATATATTAATTCTACCACATTTTTTAAATCAATAACAAATGCAAAGAATTGTAATTTTGGAATACATTTTAAAATTTTTTCGTAACTGTGTGAATTTTAACTTCAAAACAAAGATGAAACAAGCAGAACACGGGGTACTGAAGCAGCGTCTTATAAAAGTGCATAGGGGTAGTGGATATAAAGCTCCAAGCTTCCATCTCTTTAGCATTAAATTGATTTTAAATGGACTGAAAACATAAAAGATGCTACAAACATAACAACAGTGGACGGTCAGTGACCTTTGTGCAGGAAGGGTTTCTCGATAGGTGGACATCTTCGTGAAGGATTCCGTCAGGTTTCTGTGCAGCTGGCTGGAGATTACCAGGTAACCTGCAGATTCTCCACTGTCATTTCCACAAATAACACGTGCTGGTATTCATATTAAATGCCTATTATCCAATTTCAACCAAAAATGGAATGCACCGACAAATTTCAGTGAACTTCACCAATAACAAATTAATGAAAAACTATTCAGCCACTCCAAGTTTCATGCATATGGAGAAATGGATACAAAAATTTTAATAGGCACTAAGCAGGGTTGTGAAAGTGTGTCTAAAAATGTTTAAAGCTACGAATAACGACTGAACGAGTTTTTTTAAAGTAATATGCAAGAGTGGACATAAACTGCTGTGCTGATGAGAGATCCAGGAATGTATGGGTAAGCAAGAAAATACTGCGATAAGTGCAAATGGATAACATAAACTTTACAAAGTGCTAGTCTGTAACTTCAAACTACACTCAATAACTTAGATATTACTCTCCATTCAAATTTACTTAATACAGTCTCAAATTAAGAGCTTTATTTGACAGTTTTAACTTTTATTTTACTTTAAGAAAGTGTTGCACAGTATAAGAGTCTCAGAATGACTAATGAAGTAAATGCGTTTAATTATAAATGCTACATCATCATACCATCTGTTCACAGCTAGGAACTCGTATAAAAAAAATTGCCAATACTGAAATAAGAGTGTCCACATATTTTTCATACAAGAGAAGAACAAAGGAAAGGTATGTACGCGCCACACACTTTTCAGCAAGAAAATCATCTTGCTTAATATGCTGAGCCTCCACACCTATGCTTATCTAAACCAGTTTCTGTGGTGAAGTTTTTACCACATGTTATGCAACTGAAGAAACTCTGCCCGAAGTGAAGTTTTCTGTGATGAACAATTATGCTTTCTGGAAAAGTGTTGTTGCAGTACCGACAAAGATGTCGCACATTTTCGTCAGTGATATCATCAGTCATGTTGCTGGAAGTTTCCTCAGTAGTCAAGGGTCCATCAGGGTCATTAACTGCGCATAACGCAGAAGTCAAATCTGAAATTGGCATACAGTTAGCATAAGATGCGATGGAAGTTACCGTATTCAAAGTTGAAGTTATACTGGAAGTCTGTACACTTGTGGGTGAAGCTGAAACAGTGGGTGTTAGCAAACTGATAACGTAAGAGGAAACCGGGCTGATTATTTCTATTTCGGATTCAGCATGCACTCCTGTATCAGTACAGAAAGTCGTAACAGTAGGAGACAGACCCATTAATGAAGTTGTTGTAGTGGGAATTCTTGCAACTGTGGCTCCTGTCATGGTGCCATTAACTGCACTGGTAACAGCTGCTCCATCATCTTCTGAAGAAACACCCTGGGCTTGAACAGGATAAAAACTGCAAATAATAAAGTACAAATCATCTTAATGAATAAAATATTTCAATCTTATTAAAAGTAATGTTTTAAAGAACTCCAAGAAAGGCATAATTAAAGATGGAAGAAACCAACAACATTAACAGGGTAAAAAACTATTAACAGTGAGATAAAGTGTAAATGTCTCATCAACCTCAAATTGGAGAAAACATAACAATGTGATGCATATACCAATGGATAACATTAAGCTAAATGTAGCCACAAATAATCCTTACAAATATGCGATTTACTTCAGTTCCTGAAAACACAAGTCGTCTGTTTTAAAAAGGACCCCGTAATTTCCATCTCAGCTTTAAGAAGGCACTTACTCTTAAAATCTCCATAAGAACTCTCCTCTATGCCTAACATTCTGCAATTCACAAAATACACTGCTAAAACACAGCAAAAGAACATGAACACTACAATAAATGAAAATACTTAACAAGCCTGTGTTTTGCCGACAAGATATTGCACACCAGCATCAATTAAAAAGTAGTGACCTGAGTCAGCAAACAGCATGGACACACAGTAAGTCTTTGTTATCACAGAATGACTCATTGTCAAAACACATAGGATGAGGAACTTGTACCAAGATGCATTAAAATAGAACAGCCACAAGATATGTTAATTTAGCTTGCAAGTGGAAGTCTGTAGGACATTCCCCATGAATACAATGCGCTCTGGCGGGCAAAAGATGTGTGTGTCCCGTTAAAATGTGGTTACCTCAGATCTGGTCGACTCAGTATAAAGTTTATGAGTTACGCATTTCCTGCAATTTACACTATTTTTCATCTTCCACATTGAATTGTAAATACAGGGTTCCTCGCACACTACATCATCAAAAAATTACTAGTTAACTGTTTTGTTGTCATACCTTGAGGACAGATGCTGACTCCCCAAATCCACTACCTGCTGATTAACACCAACAGAAGAACTGTTTTGAATGGCAGTTAATCTGGCAACTTTTTGCTGAGAATGTTGGAGACATGTGGCCAATTGATGATGCCCTAAACTGCTGCTGTTCTGTAGCCGTTGTACATACATTCCCAGCTACATACATCTGACTGGATAGTGCCACATTATATTGTGACAAATCTTCAGTTGGTGGACCAAACTGGAAAACCTGTCGAGTGGTCTTTGTACTTTCATCATCATATAACGACACAGATGGCGATGTGGAACCAATACCATCAGAATCATCACCACCACATTCCAAATTTAGCTTATCATGTCTTTTAGTTTTAAATTGTCTCACTTTTCGTCTTGGTGCAGATACATGCTCATTTCTTCTCTTTTTACTGGATGCACGTTGCAGTGTTATTACAGTTGTGCCAAATCTCCTGAAAGGTGCAGTAACATTTGTCTGAAAAAATTATTAAAAACTTTGTCAAATTACGAATTGTATGTATATAGCTGAAATACTCATGTAGCATCCATTGCAAGCACATGCCAGATATACCATTTATGCACATGCACAGACACACACCATAAACAGCGGGGTAAAAAAGTTTCAAAACTTCAGCACATATTTAGTCAGGATTGGCCTTAGAAGGTGGGCTGTCACCCAAGTCAGACTTCAGTATTTCACAGAATATTATCAATACAGTTCCTTTAACTAATGAAAGCCCATGTGTGCTTAATTTTATGGTCTTTGTTGCATCCAATCTGTACATGTGTACTGTAATAATGTGTTCAGAACAAAGCTTTCACTAGTCAGAGTTGTCAGATAACAATGATGAAAAGCTATGTACGCATTCTAGACTCTACGATAGTGAAATGTGACTAGAAGAGGTTTTCAGCTGTTTCATGTGATAACACCTTGCAAATGCAGTAACATCAAGCTTTCTTATGAAAACCTATATTTAGGTAATATACTATAGCTCCTGAGCAAATAAAAAATGAAATAGTTAACATTTGGTCAATTTTAAATGGCTATGAGTAACAGCTTGCTCTATTGCTCATGATGTGAAATGAATATCATGGGAAGCATATGTTTCCTCTCCATCAAGTTCAACACCTTCACGTGATGCCTGGAGAAAACTGCAGAATATATGGAAAGAGCAGAAGTTCCTCTATACCTGGCCTTTCAGTTTGGGGTAATGTGATAACATCCCCTTGTGAAGTTGATGAAATGCTTGAATCTTCATTTGCTTCCACCAGCAGTTCTATGAACTATGACCCAACATTTTTACAAATTAAGAACAATGTGGAGAAAAAAAGATTAATTTTAAATCTGCAAGGGAAGAACATTACAACGTGCTCTTTTCAATGGACTGCCAATCTACAACTGCATTTAGATGGAGAATGCCTTTCCTCTTATGTGGAAAAAAGGCACAATAATCTGCATTTTGAAACTGGGAAGGACCCTCCCCTAGTCACAAGTTCCAAACCTACATAATTAGCCAGCTGTTTGTGTAAAATCTTAGAGCAAGTGGTTAACCGCTAATTTACATGGACAATGGAACACGATGGCCACCTATCTAATTCCTAGTGTTAATTCAGATGTCAACACTCAAGAGTACATAACCTGGTCCAACTGCAGCATTTTACATTATATGGATCTAACACAAAGGATATGGAAAGTACAATAAAACATATCATGGATTATTTCGTACCTGAGGACAGTGAAGAAACTGATAGTGAATACCACTCAGAGATTAGAAAACAAGTGATGGAACCGCCGGAAGAAGCAAATGATAAAGGATTCACCCAAGAAGAAATACTAGCCGTGCTCAAAAAAATTTAATCCTAAAAAGTCACCTGGAGAGGATGGGATAACAAGTGACATACTTCTGCGAGTATTCGGACAACTCCCATTATTTGTAATAAAACTATATAATTCATGCTTGACTAATGGATATTTTCCAAAAATGTGGAAAAAATCAATAATAATTCCCATCATTAAACCAGGCAAAGAAAATAGTAAGGAAATGTCAAAATACAGACCGATTAGTCTGCTAAATGTTGCTGGCAAAGTGTTGGAGAAATTACTTATTGACAGAATCTTTCACCACAAATAATTTGATGAATAGTAATCAATATGGATTTACCCCTCAAGTGGGAATAGACGCAGTTTCGGCAGTTAAAAACTTCATTGAGAAAAATCTACACAAAAAGAACAGTGTTGTCCTAGTGAGTCTTGACGTAAGAGGAGCGTGTGACGCGGCCTGGTGGCCAAGTATCCTCCTTAATTTGAAAGAGCTTAGATGCCCAAAGAATCTGTATGAGTTAGCACAACATTATTTTAGCCACAGATCTGCAACATTCTCAGTCAATACATACAAAGTTACGAAACAGGTTGACAAAGGCTGCCCGCAAGGCTCCTGTAGCGGACCTGGCTTCTGGAACATAATGTATAACTCACTCCTCAACCTGAACTTTTCAGACCACTCTCTGGTCATTGCATTTGCTGATGATTTAATAATTATATCAAACGGCGCGAGCGATACGGAAGCAGAAAATTATGCCAATGCAGATGTTAGAAGAATAGAAATATGGGCAAAAAATAACAAAGTACAATTTAATGATAGCAAGTCTATGACCATGCTGATTACAAAGAA